ATTCATAGCCTTGAGCACGGGCATAGCAAGAAACTGACACTGTAAACTTGCGAAATTTCCAAAGTTTTCAGTCCGTGGTAATTAGAACATGGTCAGTCGTGAAGTAATTTAGGTAGTAGTAGTAATAATACTAGTAGTAACTTAGATACTGATTATTTAGATAAAAAAAGAACATCACGATCGATACCCACTCATTGCATGCTGATAATATGATAGTTTAGTATCTCGCTCGATAACTTCCACAATAGCAAACTTTTCCACAATAGCAAACTTGTCTTTTACCTGAAAAAAGAACGATTGCTTCTGTATAAAGCTTACGGTGGAGTCGGTTGGAGCTCTTAGGGAGACGATTTTGTGTGAACGGTCCGCCGCACGCGGCTGTCGCGGACCATTTGCCTCGTTATCACAGTTCTAGCGTTTTTCATACAGCTCCATCGTTATGCTATTATTCTGGCATAAATCTACTGTTAGTTCTTTTATTCCTGAATTTCTTACTTGCTGCTGCATTCTGCCACATACCTACGCGCGCGTCGTCTCTCGCCGCGACGCGACAATTTCGTTCCTACTGCACCACACCTCCGTTTAGATGATTACCTCAACATTTGGTAGCTCACTTGTCTAGGGCAATAAATGTTATAACAAAGAATTAATAGATCTGGGTGAGATGTGGGTTGCTCATACATATCCATTCTCCAACTTTCATTTTCTCCAACTTTCATTTTCTGTTCCCTTTTGGAGACAATACGAGTCATAAGGACAGGGAAAACTATCGGCCAAATGGCAAAATTACTTCGAAGCCTAAACGGTTCTGTTATTTTTTGTTTATCCATAATTCAGACCTCCTTATATAAGTTTGACCCACCGTATCTGGCAAAATATATTCAAGTTCGGCGAACGGTATCGGTGGAAGATCGTTTAAAGCCTCCTAAAACATAAAAGAGCATTCATAATTACCAATTTTCCATAAATTATTTTAACTTATAATACTCAATGCCATTTTTGTAAAAATCATAGATTTCCAATACAATATAAACCTGTGGCCCATATTTTTTGTTGTCGCGTGCCATTCATGCGTGATAAAATCAAAAAAAAAATGAAAAAAAATCAAAATCAAAATAAAATCAATGAACAATAGAGGCTTTTAGCATTAACCAAGTCCATTGAGGATGCGCCGCGCATTCGACTTCCATTCAGAATCGTGGGCGTATTAAATGCGTGGGTGGCCCATACAACGGGAAGTTGCAACCATCTGATGTTCAAGTCAGTGCTTATACCCTCCTAGACGAGTCTGGCAACAATTAAGCGACCTCGCAATTATGGAAAGCTTTGTTGACCTAGGCGGATATGGATACGGGTTCCATGCGACCATGCTCTGTGATAGTGCGCCACTTGCCACTACACTACCACCACCCCAATGAATAAAAAATTACTATGAACAAATTAATAATGGTAAATACTCAACAGAGGACATTGTATTGGCTAAAGTAGAGTACATTTGGTGAATTTTTGAGAAATCGAGAACTTCACTTACACCGGATGGTTCCGGGACTCGTTCAGGGATAAGATCTTTTAGCATTTTTCGAGGTCTAAGATTCTTATGAACATGACGGATTACTAGGATCAGAATGCCGGCCGATATAACAATACACACCGACTTTGCCAAAGTACGGCACCGACGATTCATGAAGACACCTTAAAACAAAAAGTTGTATATTGGCAAACTGAAAATTCATCCATCCATGGGCCACAGATAAGACTAACTCTTCGTAAAATCAAAAAAAAGTTTTTCTTGAGTATTAAGCTCCAGGGAAAATCGGTTTGCAAACGAAGAGAAGGAGAGAGAGTGAGTGGGAGAAGAAAAGGGTAAAAAAAAAGAAATCACAAATTACTACATACAAGTGACTTTGTGCGAGGAAACTAAACCTTAGCCTTTTACAGTTCCTTTCTTTACTTTTCCCCTCAGTAATCGATAATCCATCTTGAAATGAGATGGTTTTGGTAGAAATCGATCCCTTCAAACGTCGCTTTGAGGGAAGTAGGGCATCAGATGTTTTGTAGAAGAACGTGTCAATACCCCGCTCAACTTGGTTTTTCGGAGGTTCATAGGTAGTTAGAGATCTGTTCTCGATAGATCGTAATTAGTAGTATCGAAGCTATATCAAGTAGAGTTCCACGAAGTTATTTTGAAGATTAGGTACAGTCTAGGTAAGGTGAACTAGAAAGTCGGCTGGCTGGTAGTTATTTGTACTGCGATCAATTAAATCGAGTCAAATTCAACAGATTTCAGTTAAATAGAACATAATGGAATGAAAAACGAACAGAGTTCCAGTGTTCAGAATCGCTCGATCAACTTTGAAGATTTTATCTACATCGTTTCCGTTCGATCGTTTTTCAGAGGCGTAACATGGTTAGTCAGAGTTGTTTAGAGGCTTGTCAGTAATAATAATAAATCGAATATAATATTTATTCACTTGTACGTATTCAATGGATGGAACAGGTTTTTCAGTAGAGGACCAATCAATCTGACTTGTCACCAAGTTGTCAAAGTCTTGAGAGCGGTTCGAAACTTTTTGGAGTTTCACCTATCACGCTTGATGTTAATGTTTTTTAAAGGTTCAGGCCACTTCTCAACTAGTTACAACTGACAATGAGACAAAAGTAGTTCAAATGTCGAAATCCCATTAAGCCACTCTATTCAGAGAGAGATGCACGGATCTGGCCAAAAGCCCATTTTGGCGAAAACGTCATGAGAGAGCATTAAAGGCGCAGTACTCGATAACTATGGTCCATCAGGTATCCCCCTATGGTAACTCTGCAGCTTCCCGTATACCATATGCGGCACCGTCAGATCGAAAAACGCTTAGATAGGTCGTTGTAATGGCTCAGAGATTATATCGGATGTATGCCCTACCCTCAGGCGAACGAGTTTCAACGGCTTTGTAGAGGATGTGCCAATCACAAGAGTCATCCATGTTGGTGATTCAACGAACCGGCAATGACCCATGGCGACAATGGAAGGCAGTTTCGGACATTTCTGGCAAGTATAGTCTGCTCTTTACGCAATTGCAACAGCGGAAATTTCGTCCGATGGTGATCTCGTATACGACTATTTCACTACTTTTAGGAAGCCATTATTCCCATGAAGTGAAAAACACGGCTTCCTAACAACCGGATTCAACGGATTTTCTCGTTCTTTTTGCCACTGATACACTATTCTCGACCAAGCTTCCGCTTTCTGACCTAAAAAGGGTACCTCAAAACTGCCGTGAACTGTGTCTCCGATTACATGGTAAGAAATCTTTCCAATAAACGGACTTCCGGTCATGAAAAACTGAGCTTAAAGGCATAGCTCATAATAATTCCATGCTGCTGGCTCGCGGGGCTTTCCCGCCCCTCGATGGATGTCACGTCAGACAAGTGTAAGTGACAAGGTAACACAGACTGCAAGCATTCGCGTCAGGACTCACGCACAATCAGCCGATCGCTGAGTGATGAGACAATGTTTCTCTCCCATTCTTTTTTCTGTAATGTTATTTTCCTGCTGCGATCCCTTATTTAATTTTCTAACCTAAGGGGCTGAAAAAGGTGGGCTATTCTTGCTTACTATACTAGGGGTTTTTTGTTGAATTTGCTTACAAGTGAATAAATTTTTGCTTACCGCAGTCAGTTATTCGCACCAGAACCCACACTTACGCAGTGAGACCCATTGTATAGCTCGTCCAAACGCCAGACTTTTCTTCATTTTTCTGGTCTCACTCTCGTCCACCCCCTTTTGAACGATTTCTCGAAGCCTTTTTCCACTTTGGAAACATCGATTCACTCAGTTTCTTCATCTTCATCGCACTATTTTCGATCTTGTCTTCCATTTTTCATCATAATCTGGACTACCCAAAGTTATCGCGAACTGTGCCTTCAAGCACTAAGTGTGTAGACGTGCTATATTGGAGTCTGGGGGACTTGAAGAACACCGACAAGTAAGCGAACAAGAGCTTGGTTGTAAGTTCTCGATAGAAATGGTTACAGAGAGTCCTGAGGTGAGTCCATGACTTTACTGATAGCACAAGGGACGCTTTCGGGTCGAGGAGCGGCTCAGTAAGGGCCTAATAATAAACGGGGCTCAAAACCAGCTCAGCCGACATACACGACTAGAGGTGGATGAGTTCTCAGTTCGTTGTAGAGAGTTTGCGCTATTCTCACCCGGATGATAGGCCGTAGCTTTACTGCAGCCAGCTATACGCAGTGGTACACATTCCGTCGTCCGAATACCCCTTCCATGCAACTTTTGTTGACACGTTCTCGTCATTCGTCACCCGTGATTTTATCACTCCATATGATGGAGAAGTGACCATCATAGAATGAGGGTTGGAGTGCTGGGAGTAGATGTGTTGAGGAAGACTGTGCATGTGCAGCATCTCGCGGTACGAAGTTCCTGAGCCAGGAGTCTTTCGGAGAAGTGTAGAGGTTGGAAAGTGGAGGAACTGGTACGTATCGATTACATACTATGGAACGGATCGGTGCTTGCTTGGTTCTAATGAGCTCTCCTCATGATGCTGAAGTTGGCCTTGAAGGAAAGCTCTGTAGAAACGGTGAACTAAACCAAATCTTTCGCTGAACGGTATTTGATGATTTTTTGCAAACTTCCCAATCCAATACCATCTGTCCTGACATCTGCTACACAGATTTGATTCGTTTGTGGCATTTTTCTTTGAACGCTTCAATTTCTGGCTCTTCTCTACATTTATTTATTTTTTACACAATTAATAAAGGCATGGGAGCAATATTATGACATTTAAATATTCACATTTAACTAGGGTCGCTTTGTAATAGGTGCGCGATGATGGATGCACGTTCCTAAGTTTTCGCAACCCTCAAAATGCA